ACACACACACGCCGCATTAAACGAGGCATCTGCGGGGCTCTGGCAGCCGTCCTCAGGCAGGTCCCCTCTTATGACCAAGGAACTCACTCGCGGGAAATCACCCTTGACCCCATGCGGGTACTGACGAGGCAGCTGAGAGGGGCCGGAGTTCAGGCCTCAGGGACAGGGGGCTGGGTGAGGGCATTGCCTGAGTCTGGCACCACCATGTGGGGACAGCCCCTATTTCCCTTTGGTGATACCGGGCTGCCGGACCGGGTCAATGGCATGGAGTGTGTGGGCCTGGGCATCCTCCTGCCCCTACCCTCAGCCTGGCAGCGCTTGGCCTGGACTTCCCTGCCACCACTGGGTGGGGCATCTTGCCTAGCTGGTCTGAATGGGCAGCTCCGAGGTGGGACTGGAAGCACCCACTGGAGGGAAGGTGGGAAAAGCAGCCCTGCTCAAAGGCTTTGAAAGCCCTTGCCCAAGACAAGGGAGACTTGAGAAGATGCCACCAAGAAAGCAAAGGCAGGCAGCTGGCGGCGTGGGAGGGCCACCGAGTAGGCAGGCAAAGCAGGGACACCAGGCCTAGACATGTCATCGCCCCAAACTTTATTGCTTATGAAGTGTCCTCTCCCACGCACATTCTTGCAGGGTTGAGGCTGAGGCCCTGCCTGTGCTAGGGCCTCTTCCCGGGGTGGCTGCTCAGCGAGGACAGCTGGACAGAGGCTGCCTCGGTGGATTCGCGGACGAGCTCCCCCCAGGGCCTCGGCGCCCCTCCTGCCACAATTCACAGTTGACTTAATGCTACGGGAGTCCCAAGCAGCCTCCCCGGAGAAGAGGCTGGGTGGGGGGGGGAGGGTGCTCATCTCAGAGAAACCTGGAAGGGGGCTGAGGGGTCCAGGCACGTGGACAGGCCAGGACCGAGCCCTCGCTCCCTGGCCTGCTATCCATCAGCCCTGCCCTGCCCTCCTGGAGGGCAGCCATGAAAGTGCTTTGAGGTCATCGGAGTGCAAAGTGTCGCTGGTGGTGCCCTGCGTGAGGGGTCAGGGTGCGGACGACGTGGCCAGGCGGAGCTGTGCTCCTGGGTTGGGGGTGGTGCTGGATGTCACAGCAGGCCTGGGGCACGCAGCACCTGTCAGGCTTTAGCATCGAGCACGCCAGTACACAGACCGCTCCTGTTGGTGGGTCTTGCTCCACCCTTCACCTTTACAGATGAGAGAACTGAGTGCCAGCTGGCCAGGGGAGTGCCGGGTCTGTGGCTCTGGGGAAGAGTGGGATGGGCAGCCAGGGGCATGTGCTTTGGCACTGAGAACTACTTCACTTCAACACCTTCTTAGGTCCTTGGCCGAACTGGAGCTCCACTCAGGACCGTATTGCAACCCCTGAGAAGTGTGGTGTGTTCTACCAGGAAGACTTCCCGGGGTCAGGCGCTCCTTCCTCCTAGATCCAAAAGGGAGCTGGGTGGCCAGGAAAGGCCAGGCGAGGGTTGGAGGCCCCGTTAGCACATGGGCAGCATGCCTGCTGCCCGGGGCTGCGCTCGACCTGGGTTGGGGCCTTTCGACACAGATACCCTCCAACCTGCCCATGGGCCAATGGGTGCACCCACCCCTCCTGTCCCAGGCCAGAAGCTGCTCTCTCTGACTATTAGCATGTAGTCACATCCCCAGGCAGCAGGGCAGACAAGATCTTTTCGCTCCTGAGAAAAGGGTCTCCTTCCTTCCTGCTGCCCCTCACGCGGTGGAGTGCTTGCAGCGGGTTGGGCAGGACCCAAGGGGGAAATCCGGGCAGCGTCCTGCTCCCCCTGCCTTGCTGCTGTCAGGCTCTGGGCCCACCACAGGGCCAGGGGAGGGCAGATCCCAGGAGCGGGCCGACTGTCTCAGCCCATCAAGCCTGGTCTCCAGCTGGCCGTGCTTCACTCTCCAGCTCCAGGCGAGGCTGCTGTCAGGCGCCAGTGTGCACTGCAGGTCGATGCCCGAGTCTGGCACCTCCATGTCGTAGCGAACAGGCTGCCCGTCTTTAGTCACCAAGCTGAAGGCTGTGGCTGGGATCTGGGGGTGGAGCAAACCAGTGTGGTGAAATGGTGGCGGGGGCCCAGAAGCCACCATGTAAAGATGCCTCTCTCCAGACAAGCAGGCATCCCTGAGGGCACTGTCTGTCTTCTTCTGGAGGCTTGAAGAATGCTACCTGGCTCAGGTGAAAACCCCTGGGTCACCACGTCCAGACTTGCCCCGAGGTCCTGGGGAAACCTGCGACCATGCCCGCATTCCTGCTTATTGGAACACCTTCCTCCTGGAGGGTGGGGTGAGTGCATAGCCTCTGGGACTTGGCCCTAAGCATGCACCCACCCCCTTACCTGGCTGCTGATGCCAGTTGCGATGTCCCCCACCTTGACCCGGTGGAACTCGCGGATGTGCAGGTGCTCGCCGTTGACAGACTGGATTTGGACTTTCACACCTGGAAGGCAGGCAAGGCAGCTGTCAGAGTATGGCCGCAGATGCAGGGTCCCAGCAGGGGCTGGGGACCTTTGGTGAACAGTCCTTCTGCCCGTGAAGGGGCAGCAGGTCTGGCTGTGATGAAGCCCCAGAGATGAAACCAGGATGAACAGCCCTGATGTGACAACACCTGGGATCTGGTCGCACGTGGCAAGAGCTGAGGTTGGGTCCTGGGGAGGCCGTGCTCCCACTTGGACACCACGTGGAGCCGAACGCACAGATTCTTGAATCAGACTGTGAGCAGCTTCGCCTGTTCTGAGCTGAGGCGGCCTCTGTCCAGGCCGTGGGGGCCTGATACCATGGGTCATGCCGGCCCTGGGGAGCGCCAGGGAGGGGAGCTGCTGACACCATTGTCAAGTTGCAACAGAACCTACATAACCGAGCTTGAACATGGAGGCGTCACTCGCTGTTCATCTCATCTTCCGATCCCGGCGCCCAGAGAAGGATGCCACTCAGCCTGGTGTGGAGTCCTGGACCACTGTGTTCAGAGGTCCTGTTCCCTCCTTTCCCCTCAGGAGACACGAACTGCTCCGCTTCCTGGGTCCAGGCCAGGAGAGACTGCCCTCCCAGGCCGGGGCCCTTCTGGCACTCCGGCGGCCCCAGTGGGGGATCACGGGCCTCCACGGCCCCCTCAGGAAGGCCGGGGGCGATCAGGACCTTTGCTCTGCCCTGACTGATGAGCCAGGAACCCCAAGTTCTGGGACCCAGCACCAACCTCTCCCACCCCACTGTGCCAGGGGAAGGGGGTGGAACCACTGCGGCACCCCAGTCCAGGCAGATCTGCCAGAGACCTGGACTCACCGTTGAAGTGGCTGGGGGTGTCGGCAGGCCGCCCTCGGGCCAGCGCCGCGTTCCAGCTGGAGCTCTGAGCCTCAGCCTGGCTGCCCCATGAGTGCACGCCGGAGCTCAGGGTGTCGCGGGAGCTCTGAGAGGCCTTGGAGGGGTTCTGGAATGGCCAGAGTGGCACAGACTCAGGTCCCGGCTTGGCGGCCATCTCTGGCCTCGGCCTCACTTGGGACAGGGGCTCTGGGTGCCTCTGGGGAGGCTGGGAGGGGAGGGAGTACTTCCTGGGGACGAAGGTACCCTGCTGCCACCTGGTCAGCAGCCCGGTCCCCAGTTCTCAGGAGCGTGATGACCCCCTGTCCTGGTGGGGACCCTCCCAGGAGGAAGGGAAGATGCCCACCACCCCTTCACTTGCTACGTGGATGCAGCCCATCTACCAGCTGGACACAGGGCTGGGGGCACCCAGCCTGCACCACGCTTGGCCGCCAGCTCACCTTCTCGCTGTCCTCTGACACAGAGAGGCTGTCGATGCCCAAGCACGAGAGCATCTGCTCCTGCTCCTCCAGGGAAAACGGCTGTGACAGGCTGTTCAGGAACAGCTCTGCAGGGCGAGCAGAGACAGCAGTGAGAGGCCAGGGGAGGCTGGCTGCGAGAGGTCGGGGGAGGCTGGATGTGAGAGGCTGGTGCTAAGAGGCTGGCAGAGGCAGGCTGTGGGCGGCCAGGAGTAGGCTGGACATGAGAAGCCAGAGGAGGCTGGCTGTAAGATCCCAGAGGAGGCAGGCTGCCAGTGAGAGGCCGGAAGAGGCTGGTTGTGAGCCCATCTGTGGGGGGCTAGAGGAGGCTGGCGATGGGAGGCCGGGTGTGGGAGGCCCGGGGGAGGCTGGCTGCACAGTCCGCAGGGACAGAGTGCTGGAAGGAGGCCCGTAGGGCAAGGAGAGGCGCAGGTCCAGCTGGTGCAGGTGGTCTGTACCTGTCTCTAGCTGCTGTAGCTCCTGTTCCGGGGGGGTTGATTTCCGCTCTGGTGAGCTGGGCGTTCTGGCAGGGGCCGGGTCCAGGGAGGACAGTGGCAAGCCTTCCCACATCCCGGACTCCTCCTTGCTCAAGGGCAAGGGTGGAGACTTGTGCGGCTCTGGGGGCTCTGGCGGGAGTGGAGGCTGGAGCTGAGGGGCCCGGTGCGCCGCGTCCTCGGCTGGCGGGAGCTCAGGCTGGGTTCGCATGCTCGGGTGGGGCCGGGCCAGGTCTGGCAGACGTCTCGGCTGTTCACACTCCCCCATCCAGGGGCTCCTTAGACCGCCCACTGTGAGACAGCAAGAGGGTGAGGGCCAGGTGGGCATGTGGGAGGGTGGGGGAGGCGACATAGAGGTGGAGTGGTGGCGCCGGAGGCCTCAGGAAGACAGTCCCTCGCACAGGGGGAGGCTCCATGTCCTTCTAGGTGTCAGCAGCCAATTCTAAACCACAGATACCCCAGACAGGAGCTTGTGGAGTACAGAGGTTTAAAGCAGCTCCGGGTGGCACCGACTCTGACCTCCTGGGGTGCTGGCCTCCCTCCTCCTGCCCATCTCCAGTCATTGCTCCCTGAGGCTCTGTTTCTCTGGCTTGGGGGGCAGGTCAGTATTGGGTGAGGGGCTATGCAGGGTCTCTCTCTGTTCCCCATCACTGCCTGTCCCTTGCCCACCCCCCAGACGTCACTCTTGATTTGATAGTGTTCTTGTCAAACGTGCGTTGTTCTATTTATCAACTGGTAATTTATAAAACTGGTGCCAAGTTCTAGGGCTGGCTCCGTGAGTCCTCTTCTCACTCAGCAGGATGGCTATAAGATCGCCTGCGTGGCTCTGAGCACCGGGCAGTTATCACTGCAGTGTGCTGCCCCACGGGGCGCCCCACCTTCTGCCTGGCCACCCTCCCAGTGAGGGACCCTAGTTGTAGCCAACTCTCATCCCACAAACAAAGCTACTGCCTGTCCGAAGGATCTGGCGGCGTTCCTGTGGCAGTGGCAGTGCAGCTGGGGCGGAGGTGCTGGGCTGCAGTCTGCAGATGCCTGTGGAGTGCGGCCAGGCAGCCTCCAAAGTGGGCAGCCCTGTCCAGTGCCGTCCCACAGTGCCCACTGAGTCCTGCTGCCCCACCGACTTCAGTGCTACCAACTTCTGCTTTTGATCGAATGACTTTGAGTGGTACCTGGCTTTATCTTGTATTTTCTGATTCCTGAAGAGTTTGAATCTCTGTTAACATGCCATAACCCTTGCGATTGTTTGTTGTCAATTCTTTATTATTTATTGGTTGATTGATTGAATTAGGGTCTCATTCTGCTGCCAAGGCTTGACTGCAGTGGCACCATCCCAGTTCACTGCACTTCAAACGCCTGGGCTCAAGTGATCCTCCTGCCTTAGCCTCCTAAGTAGCTGGGACAACAGGTGCATGCCACCATGCCTGGCTATGTTTTTGTAGAGAGCGGTCTCACTATGTTGCCCAGGCTGGTCTCTTAACTCCTAGGCTCAAGCAATCTTTCTACCTCAGCCTCCTGAGTAGCTGGGACTAAGGTGTGAGACAATGTATACAGCTCTTATGATGTTGTGAAACACATATTTTGCCCTCAACCCACTTCCTAAAGCTCCTAAAATCCTTAGAGTCTCTTAAGTGACGTCCTTTGTATGCGAATGACAGACTTATGGTCCCTGGGCAGCTTCAGAATGGGGTTGATCACTGGAGAGACCCAGGCATGATGGAAGGCTGGGATTTTCAGCCCGACTTTTACCTCTGGGGGGTGGAGGGACCTGAAAGCTAAGTTGATTGCCAGTGATTTAACCAGCCATGCCTATGTAATGACGCCCCTAAGACCCAAGGGGCCAGTGCTGGGAGCTTCCAGACAGCAGGATATGTGGCAGCTTCTGGGGGGGGTGGCGGGTGAGTACGGAAGCCCCACCTCTGCCCCATGCCTCACCCTACAAAACTCTTCATCTGCATCCTCTGTGATATCCTTTATAACGAACCTGTGTGTTTTCTCGAGTTCTGGGAGCTGCTCTAGCAAGTGAACTGAACCTCAGGGGGGTCGTGTGATCGCCAATCTACAGCAGGCCGGTCAGAAGCGCTGGCGGGACAGCCTGGACTTGCCACTGCGGCCGAACGGGAGGCAGGTATGGGCCTGAGCCCTCACTCATGGGCTCAGACACGACCTCCAGGTAGACAGTGTTGGGGCAGAACCGAGTGAGGGACACGCTGGGCACTAGCTGCAGCACCAACAGCCCACTTGCTGGTGGGAGGAGCCCTGCAGCTTGTGTCAGACGTCCGCCATGTGGATTGTGGTTGGGAAAACAGAGGAAGCACTTTGCGCCTGTGACTCTGCTCCTCAGAAGCCCCATGTCGCCTGGGCATGGTCTCGCTGCAAGGTGCAGTCTAAGTGTGTGTGCTCACATCTCGTGACCTCCTCCCAACCCAAGACTGCTGCATCCCCTTGCTCCAGATGGAGAAACTGAGGCTCTGAGGGGAGCGTATTGCTCTGCCTCCTTCCTCGGCCCCTGGCACCCTGTTCCCTAGGGGAGTCCCTGGCACAGCTCTTACCTTGCTGCAGTGCCCGGCTGACCTTGCCCCCCAGCTCCAGTGCAGACGCTCGGTGTACAGGCTCTTTCCTCAGCCCCTCCTGGAGGGCCTGGGCTGTGAGAGGGGCACAGGAGGGCGGGATTTCCCTCACAGGCGGAGGCTCGCTGGCAATCTGGGGGCAGAAGGCATCGGGTGAGGCCTACCTTCCCCCTCGCCTTCCAGCACCTGCTCCTGCCCTCTGCCACCGGGCACGCCCCTCACCCCAACGCTGGGATGGGGTCTGTCATAAGGAATGGAGAGGTTACTAGAGCAAGGGCTGGTACACTTCCTCGAAAAGGGACAAAGGAGCCAGGCCCTGTGTTCTCCAGGTCTGGCCCATAGGGAGGTGGGGAGGTGCTCCAGGTGTGGGTGGAGGGGCGTTCCCTGTATGAACAACATGGCTACCAGTTGGATCGCCCCGTACTTAAGCCAGGATCCCACATGGATGGCAAGTCCCCCTCCACCCCTGCCCCCTTCACCCCACGGTCGGCGCCCTTGCTGACCTTGAGGCAGAGTGGGCCTCGGAAGAACCGAGTCCAGGGGTGGCAGCCGTTGAGCATGTGCAGCATCATGCAGCAGCCGCTCCAGACGTCCACCTTGGCGTCGCAGGGCCTGCCCAGCACCACCTCGGGGGCCATGTGGGTCTCAGTGCCCGGGATGTAGTCCCCTGAGAAGGCAGGACATAGTTGGCGGGCACTGACGGCCAGAGCACAGGCCGTACCCACCCTAGCTAACTCTTGGGGTTTCCTGCCTCTGTCTCTGTCAAAGTTCTTTAAACATACTGGTAAAGGCCAGGTCCAACTTGCAGAGAGAGCCCAGCGGGACCTGGCTGGGGTAGGCATGAAGCAATGGGCTGCCTAGAAGGCGGCTGGGCCCTTGGACCAAACCTTGAAGTGCTTTGTGAAATGGGCTGGCATAGAATCTTAGGTTGAAGGAGACCAGCGAGCTGTGTGACATTTCTGAAATATTAGTGAGTGAAAAACACCCAATAACAGAAAACGTACATGCATAAAAGACTGGAAGAATCCATGGCAGATGTTAACTGTTTTTTTCCTGGTGATTTGTATTTAAAATGTGCTTAGCTCTACTTTCTTCAAAAGATATTGGAAAAGATAGGATTTTTTTAATAACAAAAAGTCCACTAAAGTTATTTTAAGGTTGGGGTCAGATGTCCATCTTCAGAATTACCAACACAGTCCTTAACAACACATAATCAGATACTTCTAGAAGACTGCTTTCTTTCGGGTAAAATCATTTTATGGGCTGGGTGTAGTGGCTTGCACCTGTAATCCCAGCACTTTAGGAGGCCAAGGCAGGAGGACTGCTTGAGCTTAGGAGTTTGAGACCAACCTGGGAAACATAGTGAGACCTCATCTCCACAAAAAATAAAAAAATTAGCTGAGTGTGGTGGCATGCTTGTAGTCTCAGTTACTCAGGAGGCTGAGATGGAAGGGTGGCCTGAGTCCAGGAGGTCTAGGCCAGAGTGAGCTGTGATCATGCCACTGTACTCCCGCCGGGGCGACAGAAACCCGACTCAAAAAATATGTATGTATCATTTTATACTTAATACTATAAACTGAAAACACGGTGCACAAAACTGTGCTACAATGGCCTTAACTAGGCACAAGAAAAAAAGCCTGGAAGGACTCATTTAAAATACCCATGATTCTCTCCCTGGACAAGGTGAGATTCTACTTTTCCTCCTCTTTTAAACACTTAGCTCTGTACCCAGTGAATATTTTGCAACAAGTGTGGATTATTTTAATAATCAGAGAAGTTAGAAATAGACACTTCCCCAGCCCTGGTGCCCAGGCCGAGCTCTGGTTGCCTACCAGGCGTCCAGCTAACCTCACCCAGAGGCACAGACAGCTGGGGTCACAAGCTCGCAACACAGCCCCCAGAATGGGGATGCTCCAAGGCAGAAGGCCTGGAACCAGGGAGAGAGTGCCCAGCTGTGCCCTTCCTGTGTGCGGGAGCGTGGCACGAGCACGTGACGTCCATGATCGTATTCACCCCAAGAGCCTGACCATCGCTAGGCTGGTCAAAGGGCCTCGACACATGGTGGACATGCAGAGCCTATAGCCTGGCTCCCATTGTGGGAAGCGCTGCAGGCGTTGGCCCGTGTATCGTGGGCAGGGGCGGCAGGGCCTCACCTGTGAGCAGGGACTTCCCCAGGCCATCAGGTTGAAGGCACACAGCATGGCCAAAGTCACAGAGGGCTGCACGTCTCCCATCACGGGACAGGAGCACGTTGTCAGCTGCCAGGAAGAGGAACAGTTGAGTCACGTGGGGCCCAGCCAACCCTGGGTGCTCTGGTCTGGACCTCCAGTACGGTCAGTTTCTGGCCCGCCCTGCGTGGCAGCTGCTGCTTCTGGGGTGTTCCACAAAGCAGGGGCGAGGGGAGGAGGGCATCCACTCAGAATGGAGGTGGCAGGTCTTGGAGGGGGAGGCGCTCTTTCCGGCCCCCCGAACAGTGTAGGCACTTGGGCCTCAGGTCTCTGTGGGCACCGCCTACCGGAAACTGCAGAGCGAGGTTGAGGCCTGGAGAACATTCCCCCTCCCTCGGGCGGTCCTGTCCACGGTCCGGCATGGGTGATGGCCCGCGGGCCCAGGACAGCGCCAGGGAGGGGCCTAGCCGCACCTTTGATGTCACCGTGGAGAATCTTCCGTGTGTGGAGGTACTCCAGCCCCTCCAGGGCCTGGCCCAGGTAGTAGAGGGCACGGTCCTCCGGCAGACGTCCCTCCTGCTTGATGAGCTGGCCCAGAGAGCCACCTGGGAGATGGAGAAACCAAGGGCAGTCTGGATGCAGGGCCTGGGAGGTCGAGCGGGGGTACAGGGGGAGAGGAGAAACCAAGGGCGGTCTTAACACTGGACCAGGGTGGGGATGGGGGGACCAAGGGTAGTCTTTATATGGGGCCAGGGTGGTTGGGGGGCAAGGGCGGTCTTGATACTGGGCTGGGGTGGGGATGGGGGGGTGACCAAGGGTGTCTTTACACAGGGCCAGGCTGGTGGGGGGTGAGGATGGTCTTGGCACAGGGCCAGGGTGGGGGTAGGGGGAGACCAAGGGCAGTCTTTACACGGGGCCCGGGCAGGGGGAGGGCTGGGGGGAGAAGCAGGCCCCTCCTGCAGGTGTCACAGGGTCAAGATGGAAAAATGTGCTGACCGGCGGCCAAGGTCAGCCTGGCCAAGACTTGGGGGGAGCTTGGCCCTGAACTCTCAGAGTTGGGGGGGACCCTGGCTCCTCACCTTCCAGCAGCTCCATGAAGATGTTGACCCACGGACCTTCCCGCACAGCTCCGTACAGAGGAACGATTCGAGGCGACGTCAGGCCTGCACATGCCACCAACTCCTCCGCCCGAAACACCTCAACACGCACCTGAAAGGGCCGAGGCTGCTGCGTTGGCGGGGGGCCGGTGGGCTCCCCTGGCATCTCATCAGACCCCCGGAGCTCCACACGCAGGCTGCCGGTGTTCCGTGATGATGTCGAGGCCCAGTGGGGCCTGGTTGGCCACTGGACCCTCAGGGACCGAACTGTGTCCCCACGCCCTTGGAGTCAGGGGGAACTTCATGTACTTTCTGAAGTTTTGAGGTGCCGACCATGTGCAAACACACAGTCACATGGAAACGACATTCCTTGTCTGGGCTCCTGGCATGCTGCCTTCCCTCAGATTGGCCCCCCACAGACATTTTCTGCAAATGCCCAGCAGTTTCTACATGGGACCTTTGTTCATCCACACCCGTACCTACACTTAGAAGCTGGGCTCTGCCTTCTCTGTCAAGACCTGGCCTCCATTAGGTGCCTCTGAGCCTCAGCATCTCAGCTCTTTTCAGAGCCCTCATTAGAATTACCCATCGCTTTCCCAGAGGATTAAAATGTCCACATGTATTCACTGCACCTGGCATCTGGGCACATAAAAAGCCTTCCAAGGAAGGGCTTGGCCAAGGCTACTCCCACTGGGGACTGGTGGGTCTGGGATCACCTGCTTCTTTGTGTGGGGAAGCAATAGGCCTTGGGTACAAATATCTTGGGCTTGGATCCTGGCTTGACCATTTAAAACAAGGCAGAGCTCTGGGCATGCTGGCTCATGCCTGTAATCCCAGCATTTTGGGAGGTCAAGGTGGGAGGATCGCTTGAGGCCAGGAGGTTGAGACCAGCCTGGGAAACAGTGAGATCCTGTCTCTAAAAAAAAAAAAATTAATACAGAAATTAGCTGGGTATGGTGGTGTGTGCCTGTAGTCCCAGCTTTTGGGGTAGCCAAGGTGGGAGGATCATCTGAGCCCAGGAATTTGAGGTTACAGTGAGCTGTGATCACACCACTGCACTCCAGCCTGAGTGACAAGGCAGCATACCTACCATGGGTGCATGCTTCTGTCTGTGAATGGCAGGCCAGTGGCATCTGCTCCTGGCTAAAGAGTCTGGGGGTGATGACCAGCTCCAGTCCTAGGGGCCAGGAGCGCTCAAGAATTGCGAGTTGCCCACTTCCTGCTGCCCGTGAGAGTAGCTGATCAAACACCTAACACAGCCCTGTCCTTCCTGGCCGCCGGTAGTTCTCCTGTAAGTCTTTTTTTTTTTGAGTTGGAGTCTCACTTGGTCGCCCAGACTGGAGTGCAGTGGCTGCTCCTGGCCACCATAACCTCAACCTGCTGGGCTCCGCGATCCTTCCGCCTCAGCCTTCCGAGTAGCTGGAATTACAGGCGCGTGCTACCATGCCCGGCTAATTTTTTGATTTATTGTAAAGATGAGGTCTCGCTGCCCAGGCGGGTCTTGAACCCGCGGGCTTAGGCAATCCACTCACCTCAGCCTTCCAAAGGCACGGGATTACAGGCTGAGCCACTGAGCCCAGCTTCCTGTAAGTCTTGAGTGGCATTGTCAGGGGGTGCCAGTAGCAACTGCCCTGACCTGGAAGAGACTTGTGGGAGCCCTTGCGGCCCTGGCCAATGGGAGCTCCACCCATGCTGGTTCTGGACTTCTGCCCATTAGCGGAAATGGCTCTCTCCTGGCCACCTGCTACCTGGTGTGGCAAACCCCTCCTGTGAACTCTGTCTGTGTTTCTGGCTCAAAGGGCCTCTGAACTGGAGTGGGAGTGAGTTTGCCAGCAGGACATGATTGGCACACGACTGACCTCACACTTCTGAGCCGTGAGCTGGAGCCTGAGGTCCGCGTGGAGATCTCCCGTGGAGGGGGACGCCCTACTCAGCCCCTCAGGATGGGAGAATGCTCGCTCGAGACCGTGTGGCTTCAGCCGGGGTGCATGATGGCCCTGATGGCTATTCACAAAGCCAGGCTTTGGGGGCAGCTACAATCAAAAGGACTTGCAGGGGGATTGTGGGCCAGGAACAGAAGGCTGCAGTGTCCAGTAGAACACGTCCCGGGAGTCACGTGGCTGCTTGAGGCTGGAAGCACATGGTTTCTTTTGACTTGCGTGTGGCTTTTTTATTTTTTATTTTTTGAGTTGGAGTCTCACTCTGTCGCCCAGACTGGAGTGCAGTGGCCGCTCTTGGCCACTGTAGCCTCGACCTGCTGGGCTCTGGCGATCCTTCTGCCTCAGCCTTCCAAGTAGCTGGAATTACAGGCGCGTGCTACCACGCCCGGCTGATTTTTTTATTTATTGTAGAGATAAGGTCTCGCTGTCCAGGCGGGTCTCGAACCCGCGGGCTCAGGCAATCCACTCACCCCAGCCTCCCAAAGGTGCAAGATTACAGGCTGAGCCACTGAGCCCTGCTGCATGTGGCTTTTTAAATGGCGGCTGAATTGTCAGTATAAGGACTTACAGTTTGACCTCACTATTAACAAACAGAATGGCTGGGTATTGTTTTGGCCCGGGGTGCCTTCAAACCGTTCCTGAGATATTACAGGGTAGAGGACAATAGCTTCAACTTTTCCAAAGACTGTGAACCCCCTGGAGGGTCCCAGCAAAGTCAAAAATATTTCCAGCCACACAGACCAAAGGAACTGGGAGGGGACACTTCAAAATACAGGGGCTTCAGGAATCTGTGCCAGCCGAGAAAGCCAGCCAAAGGGCAGTGTGGAGGGAGCCGGTGGGAGAAAGCATCCAGGCCAGGCTGGCCGCCTCCTGCTCCCTCCTCCCTGGACCTCCTTACCTGCCAAGGGAGGGGTTGGCCTGTGAAGAGGACGTTAATGAGAACTGAGATTTAACGCCCACTTGACAGATGTCAGGTGCTGGTTGAGCTTTTCTGTTCTGTTCTTTTTTTTTTTTTTTGTAATAGTGTTGCTGTTGCCCATGCTGGACTGCAGTAGTGTGGTCATAGCTCACTGCAGCCTCGAACTCCTGGGCTTAAGTGGTCTTCTCGCCTCAGCCTCCCCAGTAGCTGAGACCAAGGTGTGAGCCACCAGGCTCGGCTCATTTCTGGTAAGCATTTCCTAAGTGTTCATTTGGATCTTACAATAGCCTATGAGGTGGTGGGGTCCTTCTCCCCATTTTACAGATGAGGAAGCTGACAGATAACTTGCCAAGGCCCTTGGGCATTAAAGTATCAGAGCCAGGACTTGGTCGGGAAGCCTGACTGGAGGGAGGCTTTTCCAGCTTAGCCTGGCCGTGTAGAGTGTGTCTACTTGCAGGAGCAGGTGCCCCAGGGGGAAGCTTCCTGGCAACCAGCTAACCTCAAGTGCAGAAGACCCGCCCTGCCTGCTCAGCACAGGGACCCCTTTTTCCTCATGAACTCTCCTCTCTTGCTTTCTTGGGTGTTCTTATCTATTTATTTCATCAGCAAAAAGGGCGATAATGGCTGGCTTATGCGTTTTGGATTCCAGAAATATAAACTACGAGGAAGTGACTGACACACTACGGCACACACAGCAGTCCATAAATAACAGAGGCTCCTCCTCACATTCTCTCCTCCATTGGGGTCTCTCGCCTCATCCCTGGCTCCGTCCCATTCACCTGTGTCCAGGGCCAAGGGCTGCCCATCCTGACTCCATGCGAACACCTATCCCGTTACCACTTGAGGCCAGGCCTGTGACTCCACATCTCTGTCCCCAGCCCCCGCACAGCATCTGACACAGACCAGGTGCTTGGTGACAGCTGGGTTGACTTGGCCAAGGCCACAGAGCCAAAAGGAGGTTCCCGGAACACCATGCTCGAGCCAGATGTGCTCAAATGAACGACTCTTAACCCTCTTTGGGCCACAGACCCCTTTGAGAATCTGAAAAATAATATGGCCCCTTCCCCAGCAAAAACGTGTGTACCCATTCACACGACACAAACACACTCTTAAATGGCATTCCCGGAATTCACAGGTCCTACGACTCCATCTGCTGACTAGGGTAAGAACTTCTATGCTGGCTGTCAAAAAGCATGAAAGGCCAGCTAGGTCTTTTATCATGAGCCTATATTTGTCTACAATTGAAAGTAAGCTCCAACAAAACCTTAACAAAATTGAAACCCTGCATTAGACCCTGGGCCAGTGCCAGCACCGCCATGTAGCATCTCCGCCCTGGATTCTCCTCCAGAGCTCCGGAGGGGTTGGCTCTGCCCTGATTTCTGTGCAGCCTGGCCTCTGGTCCCTGGCCCACCTGCCAGTCCCCACCCCTAATCAGGGAACTGCTCGCCTGTGGTCTTCTAGCTGAAAGCCCTAAAGGACTGCACTGCCTTGGGAGAGAAGAGGGGCTGGGTGGGCCACAAAGGAGTCATCCCGAGTCCCTGGGGCCTGAGCTGCAGCTCCGATGCCAGGAAGCCCATGCCTTATGCCTCGTGCTGGGAGCTTTCTCCACTGCCTTGGGGGGTGTGGGGGGATGGAAGATTTGGCCTCTTCCACTAATGGGGTTGTTTACCTTGTTGCCTGGGACACCGAGGGCCTCAGCAGGGGAACAGCTGAGAAGCCGGTGACTAAGCTCCCTGCACTTTGTCCGGCTCAGGACACTTCACACTCTCTTGCCCTCCTCCCATTGCCTCTTGGAAGGGACAGCTGGCCTTCTCCAGTGGCCCAGGGAGGGTGGCTGCAGCTGTGCAGGTCAGGTGCGTGGCTGTGGCACCCAAGTGGAGGATGACCCGCACGGGCACGCATTGGGCCTGTGTTCTGTTGTGGGGTGGGTGGGCAGATCTCGCTTGTCTGACACAGGCGTCTGAGGTCTGGGGTAACACCTGCACACCACGCCTTTCACACTACCCATGGGGCTTGGGTGTGCTGGGCCTGTCTGGTCTGGCTACACATTGAGTATCCCTTATCTGAATGTCTGGATTTCAGGCATTTTCAGAATCTGGATGTTAGACCAGCAAGCCTGGTTGGGAAATCTGAAATCCAGAGTGCTCCAGATATTCCTCTGAGCATCACACTGGCATTAAAAAAGATTTGGGTCCTGGAGCATTTCAGATTCTGGGTTTCCAGCTGTACTCAGCCTTTCCTTTTGAGGATCAGAGTGTCTTTGATACAGGTCCCCTAAACAAAAGCCATCTCTGAGCTCACTTCACCCTGCCCAAGAGGCCACGACAATGGTCCACAGAGATTGTCTGAGGTTCTGGTGTGAGTTTGAACCTAAGAGCCTGGGCCACGGACAAGGTGGTTTCCAATCCAAGTGAGCTGAGTTGGGGTTGAGGCTAAAAGGCTGACGAGGAGCAGAGCCACCCGGTGAGGTCTGTGGAGCTGCTACCACTGGCGAGTCTCCCCAGGGCCTGGACAGTGTGATCTCACAGGAGGGGCCTCAGCTCTGGGCCCTGCTGTGCGGCCCTGGGCCGTCACACCACCTCTTTGGTCTCCAGGCCTAACATGGGTGAGATAGAGGGTGGGAGAAACGGTTCATGTCTTCTGCCTCTAATCAAAACCCTAGGACCTGAGTCTATCTTTTCCTCCCCCCTTCCTGCAGAGTGGCTCAGAGCTGAACTCCGGGTTGACCAACCTGGGTCTGAATTCTGTTCTGCCACGAGGCAGCTACTTGAGCTCCTGCCATCCCCTTCCTCACAGTGGCACTCTCCCAGGACTGTCTGCCTGGCCATGGAAAGAGTTCCAGCTACAGCAGATCTGTGCAGCTCCTGATCGTACAGCCTCTTCCCAGGAGGTACCTGATGGTACAGCCTCCAACCTCCTTGCCTTCTGGTCTAGGTGTGGAGTGGCCCACCGTGTGGTTTAGGGGCTCAGCTTGGCATGGATTTCATGACGACCTTGCCACCTCCCAGGTTCTGACTTGCTCTCAGGGCCCGGCCATGTCAGGAGTAGCCCATTCTGTGTTTCCACACCAAGGTTGTGTGCTCCCTCCCTCGCTGCCTGTCACAGTCACCCATACCAAGGGCAGCGGGCAGGCCAGGCCAGGCCATGTGACCGATGGCTCCCTTCCAGTTTCAGCCAACTCAGGGCAGCTAGCAACAGCCCTGCTCTGCCAACGAGTCACACCGCGGCCACCCTGCGACTGTCCTTGACAGAAAGCAGAGCGAATGCACCAGCCCTGCCAGGCCTTCCTTGTCTGCCAGGGCCTCCCTGTGCCAGGGCCTACCTTCTTGACAGCACACTGGAAGCCAGTCTGCTTGTCCTCCATTCTGTGCACCTCTCCGAAGGAGCCTCTGCCCAGGCGGGGCCGGTGTGTGGCCCAGTGGACTTCTTCTTGGTACTCGTAATCCACCGGCTTGAGTTTCTGGGGTTGGCGGGAGAGAGAAGCTGCTGTCAAGGGTCAAAGGGCAACAGTGAGGATGGCCCTCCAGCTGGTGGTCCTTGCCAGGACTGCTGAGCTGAGCCCCACAACCAGATGCCCCCAGGCCTGAGGCAGGGCTGGAGGCGCACAGTCCCAGAGAGTGGCTCAGAGGAACCAGAGGAGGCCCGTGTGATGCCAAACCTCCTCTCAGACCGTGACTGTGGGATGGAAACAGAACTGCCAACAACATGGGCAGTGAAGAAATGTAACTCGGTGCTAGAAAACAGAAGAGAGAGAGGAACAAGGTCCAGGCATGAGGTTAAAGTGGATGGAGGCCTGGCGTGGTGGCTCAAGCCTATAATCCCAGCACTTTGGGAGATAAGACAGGAGGATGCTTGAGGCCAGGAGTTCAAGACCAGCATGGACAATATCTCATGGCCCTGTGTCTACAAAAAGTAAAATAAAAAATAGCCAGGCATGGTGACACACATCTGTAGTCCCAGTTACTCGGAAGGCTGAGGCAGGAAGGTCACCTGAGCCCAGTTCGAGGCTGCCGTGAGCTGTGATGGTGCTACCGCACTCCAGCCTGGGCGACAGAGCAAGTTTGGTAAAATTGAAAGTTACAAAGTTGTCTGGGAAGAGGACCAGAGGAAGAGGGAAAGGGGTGGTAAGGACAGGCCCTGTCCTCGCCTTCAGCCTCAGGTGGTCACAGATGGCATCTCAGGCTGTTGCTGGCCTGAGGCCTCTGCTTGCAGTGCCTCTGCTATTCACACAGGACACAGCACTTGCAGGCATGGGCGATACCAGAAGGGCTAAGAGCAGGAGCAGCTAAAAGGGCTGTGGAAAGTGACTGGGTGGGGGTGGTGGTGGTGAGAGACGGCCTTGCGCCTGCAGGCACTGTCCTCCACTGGACTTGTCACCAGTGGTGGGAGGGACTCTGATGAGAAGCTCCCCAGGCTAGCTGGCTCAGAGAGCTGCCCTCTTCCATGGCAGGCCCCGCCCTGACCCCAGCGGGCTTCCGCCCTGTGGTTGCTGGTGGCAGTGTGTGTACAGGGCTGGAGATGAGTTACCTCCGTAAGCAGGACGCCCTCGCTGTCCTCGGTTTCGGGGCTGGGCTCCCAGGGCCTAGAGCCCCCTGCCGCCCAGGTCTTGGCCAGGCTGGCCAGGCTGTGGGCCGGGCCCGAGCTCACACTGCCTTGCAGAGCGTGCACCAGGTATTCCTCCACAGAAAACTGCTTGTAGGGGCCTCGACACACGTAGCTGGGCTCCAGGTGTGGGCCAGGCAGGGACTGCTGGCTGTCTACACAGGCCAACTTGCTCAGGCGTGGGCCGGGCAGGGGCTGCTGGCTGTCTACACAGGCTAGCTTGCTCAGGTGTGGGCTGGGCAGGGGCTGCTGGCTGTCTACACAGGCCAGCTTGCTCAGGTATGGCCTGGGCAGGGGCTGCTGGCTGTCTACACAGGCCAGTTTGCCCAGGAGGAGGGATTCGAGGGGGTGGAGTTTCCAGGGCTGCAGCGGGTGGAACGGGAAGGGATGGGGCAGCCTGCTGTAGGGGAAAGGGTGAGTAGGCTGGGGCAGGGGGCCTCCGTCCTGTGGGTAGTGGAGCTTCCACACGTGGTTCAGACATTGCAAGGGGCTGATGAGTTTATGGAGTTCTGGACGAGGCAGTGCTGGCCGCCGGCCCTCGCCCAGCTGCTTAGAGCAGATCTGGCCAAGGCCTGGTTCCTTCAGGGGCTTGGTGAACTGAGGGATGCTTCTAACATACAGGGCACCTAGCAGAGACTCGTCCTCCTGTGGGGGAAACATGGGTGTCAGGACATGGGGCAGGTGAGGCTCAGGTGTCATTCCTGAGGCCCACGAGCCCGGCCAGGCAGGGGCGGCGGCCTCACCTGCACTGGGATGGTGCAGCTCTCCTGCTCGGGGGTTCGGGGCAGTGACTTGGCCAAGGCCACTCCTGCGTGAGCCTGAGGCTTCGCGCTCTTCTTCCTGCGTTTCTTCCGGGCTTTGCTGTGACGCTTTCCCTTCCGGCACACCCGGGCCATCTTGCCCTCAGTTGCGTGGGCCACATTGTTGGGGATTTGATCAAGACTCTCGGACTGGCTGTCAAGAAAGGGACAGGCCCCCACGCTGAGCACCAGGAGGCGAAAAGGTGGAAGGGCTCAGGCAATGGTATCTGGAGTCCCACAGACCCCGGGTCAAATCCCAGCTCTGTCATTACAGGTGTGAACGTGGCAAAGTTCCTAAACTCCAAGCAATCTCGGTCTTCTCACTTATAAAATGGGCGTAGTCTTTTCTGCCACATGGGATGGAGATGAGGTTTCAGTGAAGTCATTCATTTTCAAAGTCGACCTCAGTGCCTGGCCCCAGGGCAACTGCCCAGAAGCCACATGTGTTACCGTGGCGACAGGCACATGCGTGCCCTTCTCAGGGAGGGTGGCGGCGGACACACACCTCTCACACACTGCTCCCCATGTGGGGCTGCCCAGGTGAGCTCCCAGGAGGGGCCACACTTGAAGTAGGCGCCCCGAGCTCTGACCAACTCGAGCTTGTTTCTGCGGCCTTCCATAAGGAGGAACAGGTGAAGTGGGTGGCCTCCAACCCCACAGTGCCTGGGGTCCCTGGTGGCCATCAAAGGTGAGTAGGAACATGACCACGGACGGCCCACCCGGCGGCTCCCTGGCACCAGGGGTCTGCCCTTCTCTGCGAGCTGGGGGTCCGTCACCGCCGTGGCTCTATCTGGGCTGGGATCCCTGCCAAGTACCAAAGGAGCTGACGACAGGAAGCCTCTTGAAAGGGCTGAGGGGCAGCTGTGGCACAGCCCAGGCCTTGGCCACGCACCCTTGGCCTCATCTCCTGCCTCTACAAAGGAGGCTGACGGACCCCAGCCTTGGGGCTGCTGGAGGCCTGCGGGATTCTCTCAGGCAGCCGAGACAAGTGCCCACCCGGGATCCCCACCCTGGGCCAAAGGTACCTGGGGCCACACGAGGAACCCGACCAGACTGCATATTCCTGGGTCCAGGGCAGCAGCCCCTCACAACCTTCTTATCACTAGCAGTCTAAATTCCAGACACGGAAGCTCCTGGTGGTGGGGGAGTGCTTCTAAGCTGAACTCAGTCTCCAAAAGCCATCTTGGGGAAAGCCTGGAAACAGGCCGAGCCCCACTCGACTCCCTCCCCACAGAGCCACCAGGCCTGCCTGCACCCTCCTGGTTCCAACCTTCTACTTTACTCGGGTGCACATCACAGGAGAAAAGACACGGCAGTCTCTCCCCTTTTACGAGACAGCGAGGGGCCCCTCTGGCCTACGCTCACAGTCACATGCCAGTAGGAAGTAGCTCCTGCTCCTGGCATCCTCCTGCTGATAGGAAACAAGGGTGCATTGAGGACTCTGAGGAGAATAAAAATACAACGTCCAGGCAAGGCGACTCAGCGGCACCATCCTCCTGCCGTGAAAAGCTTTTGAAAGTTTATTTGTTGAAGAGCGCAGCTGGGCGGGGAAGGCCTGGGTGGGCTCTAGGTGCTGAGCCACAGGTGCTGGACGAGGGAGCCAGGGGCCGGCGGCACTCGTGGGGTGAAGGGGTTCCGGGCCCGCCCCCACTCACACACACCCCCTTACCTGTACTGCTTGGACCCGGCGATGAAAATTCGCTCTGAAAAGGTGGGGCTGAACTCTTGGCTGTTCTCACCTTTTAAGGAAAGGAAAGGGAGTGGGATTAGCATAGAGAATGGGCATTCAGTTCTCAGGAGAGGCGCACCATGGAGATCCCTCCTGGGTGCTCCTCCCCAGCTTCCCAGACCTCCTGTCTGGGGCTCGCTCCTGCCAGTGCCTCCTTCTCCCAGCCTAGTGGTCAAGAGTGGCTTGACCTCATACAGCCATGCGTGTAACATGGGGCCACGGGGTGCCCCCTCGCCTCGCCTACCGTGAAGCCAGAGACACAGTCAGTTTAAGACAACTCGACACCGTGTCTGGTGCACAGTGACAGCAGAGTAAACATGAGCTATTAGGTATTTATATGTGTGCAAGCATGTAGTGTGTATACGTGTGTGTTCATAAAACCATTTCGATGTCACCCGTTCTATTTTAGTTTTTATTTTCTCATCTCTCCCCAAAAGCCCACCAGAGGGCAGTGGGCAAGGAGGGGAATGACGTGTGCTTGTGGAGTAATGCCAGCATGAGCGGTCAGGCTCTCCAGGGTGCCCCAAGAAGCTGCCTGGGTTGGAGGTAGCGGTGGGGAGAGGGACTCCTGGCCCAACCAGCCCTCCTGGGAGTTTCTGTCTCCAGGGGGCGTGAGTGGAAGCAGGAAGGCCCAGAGCAGGCCTCACCCGTGCCCTGAGACTGGCCCAGCAGACCTGAGAGCAGGGAGTTCATTCTTTGGGGCGGGGCCGCCCCTAGGTGGAGGCTGGAGAGGGCCCACAGGCCCTGGGGGGACTTTCCAGGAGACCCAGCCTTTCCAGTCTGGGCCTCTCCAGATGCTCAGCTGCTCAAGGTCACAGCAGCAGGGCGATGGCCGGCGGGCTCGTCCTGCAACGCCCCGATCGTTCCTGCTCCTGAGCCCCTGCTGGTCATGACGGGCATGGCCTTCACCTGCCCGGGCTCCCATCTGTATCTATTCGGCACTCTGACGGCTCCCACGCCACACTGACTCTTGCTGAGACCCCAGGTGCATCTCCTGAGACGCTTAACCAGAGCCTCCTGACTCCTCCCATAGGGCACGTGGGCCCGGCCCGACCCCGGCCCTTACACTCGGCCTGGGCGATGATGGAGATGGCGGTGGGGCCTCCTCCGGGGCCCTCCTTGGCTGTGCCTTTGGCGATAACGTCATTGAGGATGTCCCACTTCCCGCAGAACACAGGGCTCTTCTTCGCCGCCTCAAGCTTGGAGACAGAGCCTGGCTTCTTCCCCGATGCCTGCGCCTTCTCCTTGGCTTTGGCAAGCTCCTTCTGCTGCCCGACTGCTGGGTCTGGGGCACCTGGGCAGGCCACTTCCATCACTGCCATCTCCCAGGCTCACATTCACCCTGAGGGACCAAACAGAGCCGGTCACTCCAAACCCCAGGGTCCAGGACACAGGTCAGGCTTGTGTCACAGAGGAAGGCAGGGACGAGGGGCTCTGCCCCGTTAGGTCACATGTCTTTATCCTGATGGCAACGGAGTCACCCTCTCAAGACCTATGTGTCCACAGGGCATAGGCCCCTGGTCTTCTCAGCACCCAGTGCTAACGGACTCCGCCACTGTGTCCAGCGAGAGTGCCCGCCCCTCCCTCTGGGACACCAGTGGCACAGATGTCTGGTTGGTGCTTTCTTGCCTTTATGAGGGTTGGCCTATGGCACACTTTGGGTCCCCAGGACAGGGCGGGGGATCCACCCAGCCTCATTGCCTCAGTGATCCCACCCAGGCCTTGCTTTCTCAGAGGACAAGTCTACACGTATGGTGCAACGTGGAATCGAGGTTCTGCTCCCGAGCAGGGAGGTGTGTGTGTGTGTGTGTGTGTGTGTGTGTGTGTGTGTGTGTGTGTGTGTGTGTGTGTCTTATAAAGCCTGAGACTCAGCATGCAAATGGCGCTCAGCATGTGGCTCTTTCCCAAGATGCGCCTGTCTGCGGCCCTCCAGAAGGAACTCACATGCTTCCTTCCCCAGTGTCCATTTTCCATTTGGGCAACTAGGAGTGGAGTTTACATGGAAGGCCCCACATCTCCAGAGCCAGGGGAACCAAGCACACGAAGCCACCCTCTCTGGGTTCCTCTTGGCCTGCCCTGAGCGTTACAGGGAGGCTGCGAGGGAGAGAGTCGGAGTTGCCAACACCTGTGAGAACAGACTTAGACAACCATCAAGGACGAGCACAGCGCTGATGTGCGAGCACCACCATCTGGAAACCCTTTAAAGACTGGAACCTTTTAAAAACTGGAACTGGTCACGGGCTTGGTGGCTCAGCCTATAATCCCAGCACTTTGGGAGGCCGAGGCAAGTGGATTGCCGAGCCTGTGGGTTCGAGACCAGCCTGGGCAACTCGATGAGACCTCGTCTCTACAATAAATCAAAAAATCAGCTGGGTGTGGTGGCACTCACCTGTACTTCCAGCTACTTGGAAGGCTGAGGTGAAAGGATCACCAAAGTCCAGCAGGTCGATGCTGGGGTGGCAGTGAGTGTGCCACTGCCCTCTAGCCCGGGTGACAGAATGATACTCCAACTCAAAAAAAAAAAAAGACAAACTTTCTAGTGGGCAGGGCCCCCTGGGTGTGACCTGCTTCGGGCAGAACTGAAGCAGGTGCTACATGTAGACAGGTCTTAGCAACCGCTCTCTGCTGCAAGGCTGGTCCTTCAAGCTATAACTACCGGAGATGGTCTTCCCTGCGGTGACCCACGAGCTGGCTCCCTCCCCTGCGTGCTCTCGGGGCAGAAAGGCAGCCCATGTGAAGCCGCACTCCACCTCTGGCCTCTTGCCCTGCCAGGCATGAGGACTAAATGGGACAGTGGGAAGCTGAGAAACACTAGACCCTGAACCTGCCTCACTTATCCTTTCCCACAATGAAGGCTGTGAAAGGCTGAGCCAGCTTGTGGGGCAGAGGGCTTGCCGGCCACTGTTAATCGGTCCCTTGCATCTGTCTTGAAGGGCCTCCCAGCTCTGGACTGAGAGCAGCCCTGGCTTCCCATGAGGACACCTAACTCGGTTCTGAAGGCCAGATGCTGAGGGGCTGGCAGGCCATGTCATTGTCCCTCAATGATCTGGAGAAGTCTAAGGGGTGTCCTCACATCCAAGGACATAGAAAACCTCCATGGCAGGTTGTTTCTTGGAATCAAATTTCAGTCCACCACACACCTCCCGACCCACTCCACCTACAAAACCAGAACCCAACTAGGCCTCAGCCCCTTGACCAGTGGAGACGAGATCTTGTTTTTTTTTTTATTTGAGTTGGAGTCTCTCACTCTGTCGCCCAGGCTGGAGTGCAGTGGTATACTCATCATGGCCACTGCAGCCTGGACCTGTTGGGTTCAGGGGATCCTTCTGCCTCAGTCTTCCAAGTAGTTGGAACCACAGGCATGTACTACCATACTCGGCTAATTTTTTGATTTATTGTAGAGATGAGGTCTCGCCAAGTTGCCCAGACGGCCTTGAACCCATGGGCTCAGGCAATCCTCTCACCTTCACCTCCCAAAGTGCTGGGATTATAGGCATGAGCCACTGCGCCGAGCCTGAAGGTGAGATCTTGAGAACAAACTCCAACCCCCAAGCCTGACAGCAGCAAGGCGTGCTGACAGCGTGGAACGACTGTAACCTCCTCGTTTCTGTCTGAGAACCGAGGCCTAACCAAGGTAAGACTTGCCACAGTCTCTCGGCCCTGTGTGCGGCAGAACAGTAGGACCCAGACTGCAGGAGGGGCCGCCCAGGACGGAGGGCTCCTGAGGGCAGAGGCAGCCCGCACACAGTCTCCCCCAGCACAGCAGGGCTCTGATGAGACAACCTGATGGCGGACGAGGGTGCAAAGGACAAAGAGTGTTTTTTCATGACCTGTGGATGGTCCTGAGTACCCGGAGGGAGCCCACCTGATGGGAAAGAAAGTGGAGCCGTGTGGCACAGTAGTGGCTCCCGGGTGCCTTGCCTGGAGGCCTGAGCGGGGCTCTGCTAGCCGGCTTCCACTGGACCCCCGGAGTGTTCTGGAGGGCTCATCCCGGGCCAGTGTTGCTTTAGAGATCAGCAGCCCTTAGCCCCAGGGCCATCCTTTCATCCTGGGGTCAGGTGGGCAGCTTGGCCAGGCCCTGATCCTCCTGGGAGCAGAGGCTCTTGTCCCTGGAGAAGCCAAGGCCCAGTGAGGCAGCCACGCGCCCAGCCTCCTCTTCCTGATGACTCATCTGCAGCCTGGCAGCAGGGGCTATCAAGGAGGCTATGAGAAGCTGACCCAGCACATGGCAGCTGCGCTTGCAAAGGGCACACAGAAAACAGGTTGACCCTCACCTCCCGGGGCACAATCATGGCTGGGAGTTAAGCCTCTCCATGGCTGGCTTTGCTGTGCCACATGACCGTGACTCAGACCCTCACTGGCAGCCTCAAGTTCAAGAGGCTATTCTGGGGACGCTCTGGCCTGACAGCAACTCTCCTACACACACACACACACACACACACACACACACACACACACACACACACACACACACACACACGCTTCCTCCCTCCTCTCACACCTCTAACTGGTTCCGGTCTACAAAAGCCAGGGTTCTGGATAAAGCTGGGGACCGCTAGCCAGGTGGCCCTCCTCACCTGGGCCTCGGACTCTGGCTTGCCACCCAGCTCACAGCCCTGCAGCTGTGTCCCTCTTTCTCCTGCAGAGTGAGGACTAACTGGGAGCCTGTGATGCCCCTGCCTTTGAAGGCAAGTCAAAATCCTGACCCAATCAATCCTCAGCCAGACACTCCCGCTCCACATAGCCCACTGCTCTCTGCGTCAGGGCTGAGGACACAGCAGGGCCAAGCTGAGCCCACCCACTCACCCACAACCCCTGAGAACAAAGGGACAGACGCGTTCAGTATCCTCTAGGCCTGGTGCGCTGTACTAGTGGGTCTCTTTCCTGCGCTGCCTCAGGGATCCCCAGGAGAGTTTGGGGGTAGGGATGACTCTGGTGGTACCAGATCAACCCTTGGGCATATCTGCAGGAGAAGCTCTTAATCTGGACTCAAGGAGGGCTTCAGCATTTTTCCAGGGAAGATGCTGTCGTGGCTTTCTACACGTTCTCCAAGGGTCTGCCCTTCCTTAGAAGGTTGCTCAAGTCTCCCTGGAGGATCAGGGCTGGGCTCAGTGCCTGATTTGGGCTTGCTCTCACTTCAAGGAAGAGCCCCCAGTGCAGCCATGTCCTACCTGACAGCAAGTAAGACTACCAGGCGGGCTCATAGAATGCATCTTCCTAGAGCCAGAGTTGCCGGGTGTCAGGTCTGGATGTGTACTTCAAGTTCTTTGGACAATCCTGATGCCAAGGGGCCAGGGACTGCCACTTGACCCCCGCTCTGCGCTCCAAGGCTACGCTGTTCCAGTGGTAGCCACTAGCGGCAAGTAGCTATTTACACTTAATTACAATGAATTGGTTCCTGTTCTGCATAGCGACCGCCCTGCTCCGTACAAACAGAACATTCACACCGCTGCAGAAGGTTCTGCCGGCTAGCACTGGTCTAAGGCTGTGAGAGCAATGTTTTCTCCGACAGCCAAATTTCTGCTCCTGCAATTCTGGGACAGGAACGCAGTTTAGGCTAAGTGAATTTTTGAATCATTGGAAGGTAAAGCAGCAAAGTTTTAAATGTTGATTTTCAAGGATGATAACCTTTCTGAAACCTATCATATTTCAGTTCCCTGTTTTAGTAAGTAGTGTTCAGTGAAAATGCCACAATGGGAACCAGAAGGTACAGGTTCTAGCCTTGCAAGTTTATTTTTTTTTAAAGAGCAGAGGGACCATTTTTGTCAAATGAAGTCATATCTCAACTCCCCCATCTACATGAGGTAACAGCATGCAACTGGCATATAACTTACATCAGAAACAGCTGCTCTAGTCGGGGGGACCAGCACCACAGGCTCAGCTTCCCTTCACCCACCCAGGACCTTGGCAGGATTCTGGGTCTCCAAAGATTTGAAACCAGTGGCCTAGGAAACCTCTCGAGGTTCCTTCCAGCTCATGGCTGATCTGTCCAGATTATTTGAGGGCCAAAGACTCCGATTCAGAACAACAGTTGTCAATATTACCTAAGCGCCTCTCATTAGGCATCTCATTTTCAGACGTGAGGATATGGCATTGAGACGTTCAGTAGCATGTCAAAAAGTCACAGTCATAGGCTGCGGAGGGTGATCTAGAGACGTAGCATGTCAAAAAGCCACATGGGCACAGGCTGTGGAGGTAACTTAGGAATGTTCAGCAGCATATCAAAAAGTCACACAGCCACAGGCCACAGAGATAGGGCTGAATCCAGGCTGCTGCCTCCTGGGCCTCCATCTGGACCAGGCATTTCCAACCTGGAGGCCACATGT